TTGCTCTGGTGACCTAGTAAAAAGAAGCTAAAAGCTACACTGCAATCCCAAAGGCATGCAGTTTGAAATCACTAGCTGTTCTGTGGGAGATGGATGAGCAATCTCCTCCTGTGCAAATAACTACCTCTGAAAACCTACCAGAGGGTCAGTTATGAGTTGGTTCTGACCGAACAGTACACAATAACCAAAATATGTTTAGATAAGCTTTTTTAAAAAGTAGAATTTATGATGACAATTTACCAGCTAGAAAGAGTAAGTCATAGTATTTTTAGTTTTAAAATTTAAAACCGAAGATATCTTTGAAATCAGAATCCAGCAATTAAAGGAATGAAATAGTATTATTAAAATGAGTGCACTAACAGCTTCACATCACTGAGAACATACGTTACATCATGTGATAGCAATGTAAACCTAAGCTACTTGAATTATGAAGGAACACATGGCTTGAAAACTATGTACCATCACTTCCTCATATTTCATTGACTTTCTTAACACTCCATGTGACATTTATCAAAACTTGAAAAATGACATCAAGAAATATAAAAATAATTAGTATTAGGTGCTTAATTTAGAGACTGTCTTCTATTTAGGGAATTGTGACTGGAGTTGGGGCCTAGAAAAACAGTGTTGAGATGTTGTTGTTGTTGTTATTGTTATGTGCCATCAAGTCGCTTGCAACTCACTCATAGCGACCCTATGTACAACAGCCCTAAACTCTGCTCTGTCCAGTGCCAATCACACTGTCTCTAACATTCCCATCCCGATTACCCCAGTCACTGAATTAATCCACCTCATAGAGGGCCTTCCCCTCCTGCGTTGTCCCTTCACCCTCCCAAGCATGATGTCCCTGTCCAAGGACCAGTCCCTCCTTAATAATATGTCCAAAGTATGTTAGAAGGAGCCTCAAAATCCTTGCCTCCAAGGATTTAACCCTTTCCAGGACGAATCTGTTTGTTTTCCTAGCAGTTCCTGATACCCTCAATACTCTTCTCCAGCATACGAGCTTTTTTTGTTTTAACAAAACTAACTGGGATATAAAGGATGCAGTGCCTTTTCATCTTCAGACTGCTATATCCTCTAAGAATAATAAGTAATGTAGCTTGTTTAGAGTACCTGAAAGATTGATAATAGGCATTCCCTATCAGCCACCCTCCTTCAGGTTTCCAAAGTTGCAAATTTTTAAAGAAAGGGACTGTTTCCTCTGGAGCCACTGGTGTATGTAAATCTTCTACCTTTTTGTCAGCAGTCTGATACACAAGGTACTATGCCACCATGGTTCTAGAATTTCAAATAGATCTTAAAAAGTACAAAAATTAAAGAAATGAGGAAGATTTAAAAAAATGCATGCGGGGGTAAATAAACTTATATATTCAAAATTACTGCTGATTGATATCAGTTTAAGGACAAAGGTGCACCTGACTCAAGTCATGGTCTTTTCAGTCACTTTCTATACATCTGAGAGATGGACAGTTACTAAGCATGGCAAGAAGATGAATTGATGTCTTTTGCTGTGGTGTTGGAGAAGAACACCTAATATTTCATGGACTGCCAAAAGAACAAACGGATAGGTCTTGGAGAAGGTGCAGCCAGAGTGTCCTAGGAGACAAAGATAATGAAGTTTCATCTCACATACTATGGGCATGTTGCTAGGACAGGTTGAGTTTTTTTGAGAAGGACATCAAATTTGGCAAGACAGAGGGGTGGGGAAAGACAGGAAAACTCTCAGTCAGGTGGATTGACACAATTACTGCCGCAATGGGTCTGGATGTGTCTGAGATTGTGAGGATGGCAAAGGGTAGACAGTATTTAGATCTGTTATTCATAAGGTCCCTATGAATTGTACTTGACAACACCTAACACCACCACCAAGAACAACAGGGTAAACTAACTAGACTGAATTTAGAAATAGTTCATTTGAATTTTGAAGTGAAGGGGAAATGTGAGTAAAAAGCCCCCAAAAACCAAACCAATTGTTACTAAATCTATTACAGTTCAACACAAAACCCCATATGGCAGAGAAGTGGGATTCCTAAAGTTTTTAAGCTATGATTGTTTTGGGAAGTAGATCACCAAATCTTTTGTCTGGATCATCTATGATCCAGACATTTATGAGTAGATTCAAATCATAGTTGACATCTTGTTGGGACTCTGGGTGAATTATAAAGTGACGTAATTTTATATACCTAATTGAAAATAAAAAGATCCAGGTTCTAGTCCTACTCATGCCATTACAGAGGTGAGGAAACTCTTAATGGTCAGTAGCCCATCTAATTGCAGGTGAAGCTAACCAAGTCCTTGAAAAAGACGGTGACTTACTTAAAGTCAAACAGATAATATTGAAAAGTGAGTGTTTATTGATCTGACTCTCACTCTTTTCTTTTATCCACTAATAATCTTTGCCTATCCTCTGTTGTCTTAGTAATTCCTTGACTGGCTTTTTATTCTTAAGCAACTCACTTGATATTGCATGGCTAAGATTTGCCATCTAGATATTTCAGGAAAATAACCAACAGACATTCTTGGGAATATATTGTATTTTCCTGAGAAACAACCTTCAATTTCCTTAATTGTATTTTAACTGCATTATTCACTGAACTTTTACACTTAGTCAAGACATTTTAGTTATATGACTATTTTTCTCAACTCAGAGCTCCATTCTTTATAAAGGGGAATATTGCATACCTTGGCCTTTTCCTCAAGACATTTAACCAGTGCAGAATTCAGGTACTGTTTGAGGTGATTATTCTCCTCATGTAACCTAGCAAGTTCTTCTTCCTTCTGTACCAGAGTATCTTGGAGCTGTAAAAAGTAGGCAATGGTGAACACTGCTACACTATATTGACTTTGTAACCTTATAATAATGTCACTACTCCTCACCCAGCTTAATCTTCATTATTCTACTATTTGTCTTATGAACACAACCTCAGGGAACCCTGGCCCCAGAAGCTTAAATTGAATCTACACACCCTCCACAGGATTGTTCAGTTTTCTGCTGTGAATTCTCTTTATACATTTCAAAGTTGTTTGAAGAGATTATAGAACTTTAAAAGTTGTAACCACAAGGGAATTGGGAAGTATATAGGGAAATGAGCCACATACAACCATTTAAATATAGAAAAGAACAAAGGATTTGCTAGAATCCTTCCTTGTATATTGGGAAAAGGCTATAAACAGAGAGGGAGTGAGAGAGGGAGAGGGAGAAAGGGAGTGGGGAAGATGGATTTCCCTCCTTCAGCTTCAAGTTGATCTGTTTGTCTATCCACTTGATTACATTCCTTCTCCAGAATAACAGGGGGAAAAAAGAAAATTAAGCTATCTACACAATAACTTCTGTGATTATCATCCTGTCTAAAAATGATGTTTATGGTTTAAAATATCACAATGATTTGGTCTTTGCAATAGTCCTCTGAAGTGGGCAAAAAAAATATTTCAATATTTTTTAAAAAAGAGGAAAAGGTGAACCCAAGAAATGATACAGGGACATTGTTTTTCAGTCAGAATGTGATTGCTAATTTAAAAAGGGGAAATGTGGCTGAGAAGAAATAGAGAATGCATGCAGTGAACAGGGTCAGGCTCAGCTCTCATTATTTCCACATACCTGTTTGTTCCTGTAGAGCTGAGAGGAAAGCTGGTCCTCTTCCCAGGAACATGAGTCCAGAACTTGAAAATTGGAGTCACTGGATGATTCTTTGTGAAAATCACAAATGGAAAACTAAGAAGATAACTTAGTACCAAACAGGAAAACTCACTATTTTAGAAAGTTATCTAGAACAGCACATCAACAGAGAATTGCCTGAAGTGCAGGCTGGATTTAGAAGAGGTGCTGGTCCTAGGGATATTATGGCTAATGTTAGAAGGATTTTGGCTGAAAACAGGGAGTACCAGAGGAATGCCTATCTGTGTTTCAGTGACTATGCAAAGGTGCTTGTGTGAATAACAATAAACTCTGGCTGATTCTGGGAAGAATAGTAATCCCAGAAAACTTGATCGTGCTAATGTGAAACCTGTACTTGGACCAGGAGGCAGTCGTCAGAACAGAGCAAGGAAACACTGCATGGTTCAAAATTGGTAAGGGTGTATGCCAGGGTTGAGTCCTGTCTCCGTATCTTTTTAATCTATATGCAGAACAGATTATCCAGGTAGCTGGGCTCTATGAGGAGAAATGTGGCATCAGGGTTGGAGGAATAATCATCAAGAATTTGTGTTATGCAGATGACACAACCCTGCTTGCTTAAACTGAGGAGGACCTGAAGCGCTTGCTGCAGAAGGTTAAGGACTACAACCTCAGCGTTCAATATGGATTGAGGCTCAATGTCAAGAAAACAAAAATTCTCACCACTGGGCGAATTGGTAGCATCATGATAGATGGTGAAGGGATTGTGATTGTTAACAGCTTTAGTTTACTTGGCTCCATGATCAACACTCTTGGTCCCAGCAGCCAGGAAGTTAAAAGACTAATTTCATTGGGAAAGTCTCCTTTCAGAGACCTCTGCAAAGTACTGAAGAACAACAGTAATACCAGTCTGGAGACTAAAGGGCTCCTGATTCAGGCCATAGTCTTTGCAATTATTTGCTATGCATCAGAAAGCTGGACAATGACAAGGAGAACGGATGCCTTTGAGTTGTGGTGCTGGAGAATTGTATTGGATATACCATAGACTGCTAGGAGAATAGGCTCATCCTAGAGAGGGTGAGGCCAGGCTGCTCCTTGGAGGCAAGGATTCTGAACCTTTGTCTAACATACTTTGAACTTGTAGCAAGGAGGGACCAATCCTTGGAGAGGGACATCATGCTTGGGAGGGTAGAGCGACAGAGCAAGAGAGGAAGACCCTCTATGAGGGAGGTGGAGTGATTCAGTGACTAGAATAATGGGGGTGGGTGTGACAGAGACAATAAGATTGTCACAGGATGGAGCAGGACTTAGGGCTACTGTCCATAGGGTCACTATGAGTCACAGGTGACTCGACAGCGCATAAAAACAACAACAGCAATAATCGAGTCAATTCTCTTTGTTAAGCCCTATCTTTTTTTAGGTGGCATATGCTAACTGAAAGGGCAGCAGTTTGAATCCATCAGCTGCTTTGCAGGAATACGATGGGGAGTCACCTCCCAGAAATATTTACAGCCTTAGAAGCATGATGGAAGTTTGAAAGAAGTCAGAATCAGCTCCTTGGCAATAGATTTAGCATTCCCTTTGAGCTGCTTCACTACTCTTTTTTCTCCTTATATTTGACAGCCAAATCTACCTGTCCATAAGCTATTTTAGAATGATCTGATTTAATTTTACTTTCCTCGTCTCATTTATCATAGGCCTGATGCTTTTCCTCCTCCATTTAAACTACTGTTACTATTTTGTTAGGAGTTATTTCAAGAGTAAGGGAATAGAAAAAATTATAAAGAGTTGGTGTTTATATCCTTACCTACTATTTTTTTTTGCCTTTTTTTCCCCTGAAGCTTGTGATAGATAACTAAAATTTTAAAAATCACCCTTCTAGTATGTGTGTGTATTTCAGTATTTTGGCAGGGCTAGCTTGCAAGCGACTCGAAGGCACATAACAACAACAACAAGCTGTTTATTTGGTTGTCTTTTTAAAACAACAACAAAAAATATAAGCATGTGGCAGAAACGAGAGCGTAAATATTTAATTTTAGTATCTCTTGAGCTGTTCCAGAAACCTGGGTGCAAATAATTAAACTTCTTTATTACTTATTGATAGTGTTTGCTATATTCTACAGTAAAATATTCACTCCAATATAAAATATGCTTTAGGTAAAAGACACTTTGCCACAAGAGATCAAATAAATATTTCTCCTTGCTTCATTCTCATATCCAGGAAAGTGTCCCTGAGTTTAAAAATAAACATTTAGCTGTATTTTGAATCCAAAACATCCTGATAGAGTGCTATTTAAAACAATTTTAATTCGGAAAAATTATCTTAATGAGTTAAGACTCCTCCGCACCAAGAGCTGCAAGGTGTAACAGGCTAGGAGGAGACTCCCAATTTAATTATTCAGCAAGGTGTAAACAGCAGGTCATTACAAGCTGTAAAATGTAGTCATCTTTGAATCTGCTTGAATGTTCCATATCATCTCTTCACAGCCCATGGTACTCTGCAACCATGGGTGCTTGGAAAAGGCCTCAACTCAACCAGTAAAGCAGAAGAGCAGAACTTACCCTGTGCCTGTGGTGCTTGTTGGGGCTCTTTGTCGTCCAGGAGACCAGCAGCCCAGAAAGAGACCAAAGTCTCCCTGGAAACGTCAACACTAGATTCTGACGTTGTAGCGGAGGAATACGGGCAATTATAGTTCTGGCCTCCTACAAAGTACTGATCTTGGCAAGGCAGAACGGTGTTCTGTAAAATTCAGCATGTGCGGGTAGGAAGGTCCCGGAAGAAGGGGTGATAGGGATTTGGAGGGTTAAAGGATGAGAAAAAGATGCAGAAATTAGATGCAGTGAATCATCTATAGTAAACATGCTAACTGTAGGTACAAAATTTCATTCGTAACCGAAGAGAATCAATCAGTTCCTTGATCAACTCAGTACTTTCTTTAGGCTCTCTGAACAGAAAAAGAAACAAGTCTTGGACGGACTAAATTTATAATATCCAGGAATATTCACTTTTGCAGCATCTAAACTATCTAACAGGCTATTCAGAGTGGAAATAAAAAAGAATTCTACAAAGTAAGTCAAAGAAGATATTAAGTACTATTAAATTCTTCCAATAACATACTTTAAATGTATTTTAATGACCTTGAAAGAAAAAGAGGTTAGGATGCTAAGACTGAAATGGATAGGGTGTGATATTATATATGCTACCCTTTTTATCATAGTGTCTGAAGAAAATTTGTTACACATACACTCTATATATGATACACATATGCGTGTGTGACACACACACACACACACACACACACACGTATTTGTTCTAGATGTAATTAAATAAATGTTGTGTCCAACTTGGACTTCAATTTAAATTCCAAGCAAGGGCAGTGGGGTGAAGTAGGGAATCACTGAAACACACACACACACACACACATACACACACACAAACACAACAAAAAAAAATAGAAAAGCAAGACTGAAATAAGGTAGCAAGCTCATTTCCCTCCACCATCAAGTCTCAATGCTCTTCCAAAATTGTCTCTCCACCCCTAGCTTTCTGGCACTCATTCTGTATAGCGTTTTGAATGAATGACCCCCAAGTTTCAAACTTCAAACAGATGGCCATTCCAAATAGCTAGGCAGGGGTAGGTATGCAGGCTTCCTGGGTTAATTTGTACAACAGTGCATTCCTAATTATTTGTCAATGTTTAATCAGGTAAAAACCATTCATTTCAAGCATCCTTCAGCATTGGACTAACTCTTTTTGACCACTGCCTTTTGTTGACTTGAGGACTTTCCTGGGCATAATATAAATGAGAGAAAACAAATAAGAAAAGGGGAGGGGGCAAGTTAAGTCAACTAAGTCACACTTCATTAATATTCTCAGCAAGTAATTTTTTTTTATAAGTACAGTTCTGGAAATAAATCCAGTTTGGGCAAAGAAACTCTGCCAGAAGTTTATCAAGTGCTATTTTCTTTTAATCTAAAAGCATATTTGCAGGTTCCTTCCATGAAGTTATTATTGGAATAAAAGCTGAGCTATTATGCAATTGACACCTGAGAAGAAAATAAATCCCAAATACCCTTAGACCAGTTCCAATCCAACTGTTTGCAAATATGTGCATAATCTAGAGGAAGAGGTAGAAACAAAAAACGAGTGCAAGTGGAGGGAGAAAGAAAGTTGCAACTAAGAAATAGTGGAAATCATACAATGAGTAAGAAGGAGAGAAATCACAGAAAGAGAGAGGGAGAAAGGAAGAGAGAGGAGAGAGAAAAAGAGGAGAGGGGAGGGAGAAAAAGGGGAGAGGGGAGAACGGAGGAAGGAAAGGGAGAGAGGAGAGAGAGAGAGAGAAAGGAGAAAGGAGAAACGTGATCTGAGCAAGAATTCATGTGGTGATGAATAGGTAGGTAGCAGGGAAATATTGCTCTCAGGATAGAAGAAATTCTAAAGAGAGTCTCCAGATTTTCCAGTATATTATCTAACACGAGTTACTCACTTACCATCTTGCAGTGGACGAAGGAGTTGCAGAAACTGAGCCCAAGCTTACTTTTTCTTTAAGCCCCCTCTGAGCTTTAAATGGTACCGAGGGGAGGAGCGAGTGGAGGCGAGTTCTAATCTACTGGGAGCTGCTGGAGACTCCCAAGGCTCCCTGCCAGCACCGCCCTCTGGTTTGCTGTCAGGGTGTGAAATTAGCGAAGTATCTGAAGGTAACCAGGAAAAGCCAAAGTTACTCGCATCCAGGCATCCCAGCGCACTGGGGTCTTGGGCTGTGGGGGAGGCAGAGCGGTGGCACCGGGAGGTCTCCTTTGGTGAGCTGTGCTGCTGCAAATTCCGCGCTCAAGCCGCAGCTGCACTGAAGGCAGAGGGAGGTTACAGCTACCAGGGGAGGCTGAGGTCCTCCTCAGAGAGCTGACAGCTTCAGAGTAGGGGCGCCGAGGAGGCAGGATCCACCTGTTTGGACCCCTGTGTCAGGGATGTGTTGTTAGGTGCTGTCGAGTCCAGTTGACCTGAAACCTGCCACATCCTGTGCCATCTTTATCATTGGGTCAGGGAAAGAAGAAAGCACAGCATTTCAAGCGCAAAAGGCTACACTTAAGGAAGTTTCTACCTTTGCCCCGGTGTGTTTTCTGACCATACAATAACAAGTTACCCTCTTGCAAGTTATCACCAAAATGCGCGCGCGCGCGCGCGCGCGCGCGTGTGTGTGTGTGTGTGTGTGTGTGACGCTTGTGTGCAGTGGCGTCACTAGGGGGGCTGTGAATTACAACCAATGACATTCTCAGAGGTGGTGATATCAGAAATGACTGTTTATAAAGTAGTTGTGTAGTTTTTCAGCAAAACACATTTATTTTTTAGTAAGAATATCCATTGAGTTAGTCAAAACCACAAAAAAAAAAGCACAGCTTTCATGTATCAACATGCCTAAAAGGCTAAAAAATATATATGCTAATATAGTACTTGAATATTTAAATGAGCTGTGGTCAAATATGTCACTATTATTTAATTACAGGGAACTCAAAATTGCATGGGTTCTTCCGCAGGCACTGCAATCACAAACTATTTTCCTTGCTGCTCGTGTCATCAAAGTTTCTGAATTCATAACATTTTCTCATGTTTAAGCTACAAGCCTGACATTAGTATTGGTGAATCCACATCTATAACCTTTTTCAAATTTTTTTTTCAGAATTAAGTTGTAATTAAGGGGGGGGGGAGATTAAAAACAAACTTCTGCCCAGTTTCTGATAACACTGTAACTAGTTATTGTAATTCAACATAGTTTACCAAACAACTTAGTTAGTATTTAGGTAATCTAAGAAACAGCAATACCCAACTATATATAATGTTCTAGATTAAAATTGGGAAATATTATTAAGTGTTCTGTGTGTTTAAATATGGGATGTATTTCGGAAGTGACACCGTGAATTTCTACACTGGGTGACATTGACCCCAGTGTTGGTAATATATGTGTAGGTATGTCTGTAGTGAGCTGTCCTGTTAGCCAGAAAACAGTGCGCTTCAGAAGGTTCAAATTCACTGACAGCTCTGTGAGAGAAAGATGGGCAGCCCCACCAAGTTGTAATTTAAAACCTATAAAACTTGATGGAAGGTAATTATATGTCAAAATAACCTCTTCATTTTTCATCAGAGAAATGTGGCAGTGTCATTTATCCACTATAGAATGTGTCACAAGAACTGTGATTACTGCCAGGTTTGTTCACCACTCTTTCTGAAGATCTTGGAACACCGTCTTACATATAATCAGTTCAACGAAACCACCACCACCAGTTGATAAGCAGTGAATTCTAACTCATGGCTGTCCCATGTCTTTTGGATTAGAAGTCCAATTTCATAGGATTTTAAATGGTTGTGACCTTTTAGAAGCCAATCACATGACCTTACTTAGGCATTACCTCTGGGTAAATTCAAACTACCAGTCTTTTGGTGGTTAACCAAGCCCTTAATCATTTGCTTCACCCAGTGACTTCTATGGACTTAGCATTCAACAAATATATGTTGAAAGAATGGTTTAATGGAATGTATACTCAAGCTGAAAATGTAATTTACAATGTCTTCCTCTCTGATGGTATTTGCTTCATAACTACTAATATGTAAATATTACAGGTAAATCTACAATACCTTCCTCTTTGATGGTTTTTGCTTCATAACCACTAATACATAAATATTATAAATAAGAAAAATGTTTTTCTGATCATGATTCATGGCAGTCTGTGTGTGGAGCTTTCAAGGTTGTGACATTGGGAACCAGATTGCCAGATCTGTCTTTCCAGGTGTTCTTACATGGACTACCAAGTTTTCAGCCAATAGTCTCCCATTTATCATTTTGCACCACTCAGGGACTCCTAAAAAAAAAGTATGTTAAATTTGTTTTTCAATTAAAGTATTTGATTCCAAGCATATTTTTCCCTGTTTTAGTCTTACAATGTTATATTCAGAAGAGAAAGAAGAATAATATAGGTTTTAAAACCATTCTTCTATTAACAATGGAACTAATTTTAGCTTAGCAATCAAATGTACAGAAAACACTAAGCAATAATCCTAGGGGGAAAAAATTTGCTCTTGTACATTGAGATCAAGTCAGAAGGGACTCACAGTTGACCCTCCAGTGGTTTTTCACAGGCTCTAAAACTCTACAGTAAGGGATTTCTCACTTTTCTCCCATGGAGCAGTTGTTTGATATAAGCCACCCAACTTCAAGTTGGAAACACAACACCTAAGGGCTGCAAATGTGGAAGAGAGGTTAAGAAACCTGGCCAATGTGAATATAACAAGACCAAGCAAGACCAGTTTGAAATGGGTACATTGGAAATTTTAATGTAGAAGTCTGTTTCTACCATGCTACTTTTTTGTTAGGTGCCTTAAAGTCATGTACAAAACACGGAGACCCTATGAATAACAGATGTGAACCCTATCCTAGTCTGTGTCATCCTCGCCATCTCAGACATACTTGTATGCATTGTTCTAATCACTGTGTTAATCCAGCCAGTTGAGAGTCTTCCTCTCTCTCACTCACCCTCCACTTTTCTAAGCATGATGTACCTTTCCAAGGAATAGCTTCTTTTAGTAACATGCCCAAAGTGACAAAGCTCTGTCAACTGCCTTCAATAAGCACTCTGGCTGCATCTTCTCCAAGACATTTCTTTTTGTTCAGTACTCTTCTCCAACATCACAGCTCAAAGACATTACTTTTCTTCTGTCATCTTCATTCACCATCAAGTTATCAGATGCCAACCAAGTGACTGAAAAGACTATGGCCTGAATCTGGCTCACCTTAGTCCCCAAACTAACATTATTGGTCCGCAATAATTAAGAGAGATCCTCACTACAGACTTTCCCAGTAAAATATGTCTTCGATCATCTAACTGCTGATACCAAGGGTGTTGATAGTAGATCCAAGAAAGATGAAGTCTGACAGTTTCAATCTTTTTTTCTACCTATCATGATATTATTTATCAGAAAAGTGGTGAGAATTTTGCTTTCTTGATATTGAAAAACAATTCTTATTGAGGGCTATATTATTACAGCTTCTTCAGCAAAAGTTTCAAGTCCTTCTAACTTTCAGCAAGCAAGTTTTTGTCATCTGCTGCAACATAAGTTATTAATGAGTCTTCCTCTGATACTAATGCCACATTCCTCTTCATAGAGTCAAGCTTCTCAAATAATTTTATTCAGCTGACAGATTTTATAGGTATGAATAGAGGGTACAACTCTGGCACGCACTTTTCTTATATTAAACCACGTAGGGTTCCCTTGCTGTGTTTGTACAATAGCCTCTTTATCTAGGTATAGGTTTTACATGAGCACAATTAAGTGCTCTGGGATTCCCCTTCTGCTCAATGTTAGCCATGATTTTCCATGATACACATAGTCAAATGCCTTTGCATACTCTATAAAGTAAAATAGATATTCTTCTGATATTCTTTGCTTTCAGCCAGAATCCATCTGACCTCAGCAATATCTCTGGTGCCACAGTCTCTTCTAAATCCAGCTTGGATTTAAGTACCATCCATAGTTTTTTACTGTCCTTGACTTCTTTCCAGTGTATTTCACAGCCACATAAAAAAAGCACATAGCTACAGAAATTGAGTAAACTTCTATTTAGGCTTTTGTCTAACCTAATTTTAATCTTTCTTTATACTACTTTGCATATATGCATTGGAATTGACATTGTGACATTGGATATTGTATGTGTATTGGATTTGGTTTGGTACAGTACTTATCACTCACGTTGTTCTTGCTTTTATTTGCCATCGAGTTGCCTGGGACTCATAGCAACCCTATGTACAACAGCTCTGAAGCCTGCCCTGTCCTGAGCCAGTCTCACTGTCTCCAACACACCTACCCACATTAACCAAGTTACTGTATCAATCCATCTCATCCGTGGTCTTCCTCTCCTGCATTGTCCCTTCACCCTTTGGAGCATAATGTGCTTCTCCAAGGATTGTCCCTCCTGGCCACATGCCCAAATCATGTGAGACAGAGCTTTAAAACCCTAGACTCCATGGAAAAACTTAGTTTAACCCTCAACAATTACCAAAGTGCCTAATATACAGATGGTGTTCACTACATACTAAGTGTCAAGAAAAAGACATAATTAGGAGAAGAAATGGAAGAAGAATAACTCAGTTTTGTGGAATCATTTGATTTCTTATTTACAATATTTTTGAGAATAGTGTTCATTCTCAAACCTTTTTAAGTGACTTGTATCAAGTTAAAGTCTGCTTTCAGAGACCTCTCTAGAGTGCTAAAGAGCCATGATTTCAGTCTAGGGACTAAGGTGAACCTGACCCAGGCCTTGATCTTCTCATTTGCTTATTATGCATCTGAGAGCTGAAGGATATCAGAAGGAGAATTGATGCCTTTGAGCTGTGGTTCTGAAGAAAAGTATTGAATATACCAAAGACTATCAAAGAAATAAACAGGTCTGCCCTGGGGAGGGTCAACTAGGTTCCTCTTTGGGAGCAAAAATTTTGAAACTCTGTGTCTCATACTTTGGACATTCTGCCAGAAGTGACCAGTCCTTGGTGAAGGACATCATGTTTTGAAAGCTAGAGGGTCAGCACAGGAGAGGAAGTCCTTGGATGAGATGGATTGACCCAGTAACTATGGCAATGGAATCCGGAGGTGTCAGAGATGGTGAGCTTGGCTCAGGATATAGCAGAGTTCAGAGCAATCGTTCATAGGGTTGCTATGAGTTGTAGTTGACTCAACAGCATATAACAAGAACAAGTATCAGGTTAAGGAGAACTGATGCTAAATAAGTGAACTTGGTTACCTGACATTGGCTCATTTAGGACAAATCAAGCCTGCAACACTAGATAATGAAAGATGAGAGGGAAAAGGATGTAGTGCAATATGACCCAGAGATGGAAATAACAGATGAAAATCAACGTAGGTGGTAAGAGTCAATGACTTGGTTCAGAAAAATTCCA